CGGCTCGGGGGGTTGTGAGGGCCAGGCGGGTGCGGGTCCCCCTGCCAGCAGCTCGCCGTGCCAGGACCACAAGCGTGCCCTGGCTGACTTGAAGGGCACGACAGGGCTGAGCCCCGGGGAGCCAGCAGCCTCTCCAGGGCAGCACCTCCTGGCCCCCCAACACGCTGGCCTGCCCCATGATGCCCATCTCAAGCCTGAGCACCACTACGCCTTCAACCACCCCTTTTCCATCAACAACCTGATGTCCTCCTCTGAGCAGCAGCATCACCACCCTCACCACCACCACCACCACCACCACAAAATGGACCTCAAGGCCTACGAGCAGGTGATGCACTACTCGGGCTACGCCTCACCCATGCCTGGCAGCCTGGCCATGGGACCTGTAACGAACAAAAATGGCTTAGAGTCCTCCCCTTTAGCCGGAGAGACTTCTTATTACCAAGGTGTGTATTCCCGGCCCATCATGAACTCCTCCTAAAGGGGCAAGGGAAAAACCTCCCCTCACAAGGGGAGAAAAAACACCCCACCCCAGCCCCTGCGCAGTCCCCTAGCAGAGGGATGGACTATGAACGCTGTTGAGCACGGTGCATATACATATATATCTATCTATTTTTTTTTGGTTGGCTCCAGATGTTTGCATCTGTTTGGGAAACAACTGATGTGTGTCATGCAAGCATCTCGACCCACGCCAAAGGCAGGCGTGTTGGTCCCCGCCGGCCAAAAGCCACCCATGTCCCGGGGGACCGTGATTCCCTTGGTTTACTTTGTGGGGTGGTTTGTTTTGGTGGGGAGGGGTGGGTTGGGGGTGAGGGGAAGGGGAGAGTTTTTTTTTTTTGGGGTTATTTTTTTTTTCGTTGTTGTCGTTGCAGGGAGGAATAAATATATCTATTTTTTTGTGTGAAAGTGACGGGGAAAAAAAAACAAACAAAACGAAACCCTACTTCAGTGTGAAACCTACGCTAGTTTTGAATCCGAGGACCAAAAGTCTTGTAATGTTGTAAAAAGGAGGAAAAAGAGGGGGGTAAAAAAGAGAAAAAACTATGAAAAATTAAAAAAAAAAGCAAGATAGATTGTTGTAATTGAAGCAAACGCTTGATGTTACCGGGAGAGTAAACTACTTGGATCTGATTAATTTATCGTTTCTGTATGCTTTATTTATGGCTTATAAATGTGTATTCTGGTAGCGAGCAGCCAGATTTTCACAGAACTATATTAAAGTGTTATTGGCGGTTTTTTTTTTCCCCCCCCTTGCATCTCTTTTCCGTCGGGACTCTCCTCCTTTTTTCCCCA